ATGTGCATATATAGACAAAGTATGTGCATATATAGACAAAGTATGTGCATATATAGAAAAAAGTATGTGCATATATAGACAAGTATGTGCATATATATAGACAAGTATGTGCATATATAGATAAAGTATGTGTATATATAGACAAGTATGTGCATATATAAAAAAGGGTTTTTGCATATATAGAAAAAGTATGTGCATATATAGAAAAAGTATATGCATATATAGACAAGTATGTGCATATATAGAAATTAGTACATATAAGGCAGCTATGGCGTTCCATACAAATCCATCTAAGGTCAACTTTGCCTTCTGGAGTTGAGACCTTAATTTCTTTATAATTTTTAAATTTATAAACGGACAATTTTTAATGATTGATTGTTGGTAGCTTAACGTTCAGTGGAAAACATTTCATGCATGTTTCGGAGGAGAACAAATTTAACAATAAATCCAATAGGTAGATCCTGTAACAGTGGACGTTCTGGATGAAGGTCGGGAAATTTAGACTGTCACTGAAAATGAGGGTATTTTTTATATGGACAGAAACTTTGCCTTGCAACAGGCCACCTACGGACCCCTTAGCGTGCAGTGAGCGTGACTATCTCTCTACACGCCCCATTCTGATCGGACGTGGCTGTTTTCTTAAACCATGATCCCGCACAGCCAAACGGACGCCGCACTTTGGCAATTTTTCAAATGCCCAGTCCCCCTTGGAGGTAAACACTTTTAGAAAGGTTTTTTATAAATTATGTCAGTTCCGAAGTACTTACTACTAAGCTGATGGTCAACTCGGGGACTTATCCAATTTATTTGGTAAACAAGGAAATAAATAATCTGTAAGCTTTAATACGATACTTTTGAAATAATAAAAAAAAACGAAATGTGTATATAATATGCGTACATCTCACAAATATACATTGTTAATCTTTATTCCTTAAATTTCTGATGGAAATGAAGCTATGATTGTGCTTCATGTCTGTGTGACCAAGCAAAGTATACGCTTGATCAGGCCCCTCTTCACAGTAGGAGCATTTGAACAATGTTCTTGATTTCCATTTCTAGAACGATAAAACATATTACCATCAATACGAATAGTAAAGGAAAAATCTAGGATGTATTTTCTGTAAAAAAAAACACACATTTGCCCGCTTTACACAACATGTCTGAGCTTGCGTAAAGATTGTTTACATCACGAAATATTTACTGTATGAAATTCATTTCGGCACACTAACGTGAAGATTTCTGAATACAAATGAATGATGCCTTTCATGAAATGTACGTGCTGATACATCATTATCAAACTGGTTTAATGCATTGCTTCTTGCTTTGAAAAGTACTTTATTTGAACCTTTTCATTGTTTTCTAAACGTAAATACACTGACAGTTTTATAACATTTTAAATCATTGGAATTTTGTTTTTTCACTCGATAAAACAAGGACACACTCGAAAAAACACGGACTGCTCTCGAAAAAACAAGGACATATGAAAATGAATTTACTCTCCAAAATGTCATTTTTAATGCAGAAACAAGAATTTTTGTAGAGTATATAAGTATATATAGATTCCATGTATGCATTTCCGTTGACATTTGCATTGTTATTTGCATAAACATGGCTTTAATCTATATTTTGGAATAAAACATTGTAAGGCCAAATTAAACGTTTTTAAAAAAACAAAATAATGTAGGGTTAATAATATCTTTTTATAACTAATACTAATTTACCGTTGATTATCTTGTATATAAAGGTATAGCATCTTTTCTTTACGTCTTACTAGAAAGGAAGTCTGTTTACATTTTTGATAATATTCACTCGAAAAAATGCGGTCACACTCGAAAAAACCCGATCAAATCACTTGAAAAAACACGATCCCAGCCAGACACTATTCCTACTGTGTAAAAGATAAGTTGTTACAGTACGTTCTTTTTACATGATTTTAACAGTTTTAACAGTGTATCATAGTCGTAAACAATACGTAGCTTTCTAAAATCTCCGTTGTCACAATGACATCCTAAGATTTCAATCTAGACTCATCAATGACATGATTTATTAGTTTAAGGAGTATAAATTGCATGGCCTAACAAATATATATTCTCTGCTTAAGCAGTATGGTTTTGTATCGAGCTAGTAGCTAAGTACACGAAACAAACTAAAGAACATGTATGAGTTCCTTTGATAAAGTAAAAAGGAAATGTTTATGTAGCGTCTAGTGTAATGTAAGTTTTTATTGGATTACGTCATTTATTTGGGTAAAATAAAATTCTGTCGGAACGTCATGCAAAGAAGATAAATTAATCTCATTTTACTTTATTTGGAGGTTAATACCCTAACCAGACCCCACTATAGAATATTTGTGGAGAAAAGAAGAAAGATCGACATAATATTATCCGAAATCAAATGATCGGAAAATTTGATTGAAAAATAATTTAATATTTTACATTTTCTGTATTCAGGTTGAAATTGTTTTCCTTTATCGACGAATGATTTTTCTTCATAGTGCAAACATGTTGCGTTTATTTCTATTTCAAATCAAGTTTATTATTAGTTTAACTTTGTAATTTTCGTAAGAGTAAAAGTCTTAATTCAAACTCTTGCATGGTCAACTTTGATATTGAATTTGGACGAATTGTTTATATTATATTGTAGTAAATTCAGTTTAGTTATTACGTCAACAGTAACACACATAGTTTAGTTATTACGTCAACAGTAGCACACATAGTTTAGTTATTACGCCAACATTAACACACATAGTTTAGTTATTACTTCAACATTAACACACATAGTTTAGTTATTACGTCAACAGTAAGACCCCGTTCACACTAGGACATTTAGATCGATTTAAACTAGATCGGTTCACTTTAGATCGATTTAAGGGCCAATGTGAACGCGTTGAATCGATCTTCAATCGGTCTAAACTAAAACACCAAAAGAGGTAGTTTAGTTTGAATCGATCTAAAGTGAACCGATCTTACTTTAAATGTGAACGCAGAGTTCGGTTTAAACTATAGTACGATTGAATCGAAAAATAATGTATGCGCATGTGTAGCGGCACAACTATATCAATGGTTCGTTGTTTAACCCATATTTCTCTGTTAACAGACCTGTGTGTACATGCACGTAAAAACAAACTGAAAACATGTTGTCTTCGCTGTAGCATAAATTTGCGAAATCTGTGTCTTCTTTTTTTAGTTGATTTTTTCTTTTCAGGAACCGCAGTATTTCGTCGTGTTGTAACTTCGTTGCTACAGTATTTTGTTTCAAAATCAAAGAAAACTGCAAGACAACCAGTAGCTTGTTGGTAGGGTCTTGATTATACGAGGAAAAAACATTTAAACAAAAACAAACTCGGTATTTCATGATACATGACATGATTGTTATTCAGGCATATGTGTTTCCTTAAACATAGCTATGTTCAATTTACTGGTTATAAATGAACGAATTTGATTGTTTTTGTTTTTGTTTTTGTGTGGTTGTGTTTCTGTCTAATTGAAGTATTACCGCACCTGATTTTACGGATGAATGGCACTGCTGACCAAGTTCAAAAGAAAAGGAATAATCATGAAATGTATATAAAAAAAAATGTTGTGTTTGCGTTTTCTAGCACTCTATAATTTTGAATGATAATTCGACATCTTAGTCTATCCCGACTTCGAATATTCATCAATTCAATCTCAGACGGTTTATAGTTCTTTGACATTTTAACATGTTAATTGCATATTGAAAAACGTTTTCGTTTACTGAAAGGATAAGCAAAAGAAACAATTTTCACTGAATTTATTTCACAAAAAGGCTCAATCTTACTTTAATTAATAGCCCCGTGTATGTTTTTTTCTAACAGTGTTTTGGTGTACTAATAAACAGGTCGTTGAGTTAAGTTGTAAACGCATTAAGAATGTAAAAAAAAAACATAAATTTTGAGAGGTTTTGGTAAATTTTTAGTATATATTCCAAAAATGTATTAGAAGGACGTCGTTATCCAAGACCATAATTATGTTGGAAGTAAAGCCATGTATTGTCTTTTGGAAATATATTTATTCATTTGAGTAAGCGATGTCTTTCGATGCAAAATTTGAAAAAAAACTGAACATACAAAATTTGCAAATTAGTTGAAAGATGCCTTCGACGGAAACATGATTTTTTTAAAATTTTATATACGTATTTGAGGTCTGGAGCTGGCATGTTAGTAACTGCTAGTAGTCCTTTGTTAATTTATGTATCATTGTCATTTTGCTTAGTTTCTTTTGTTACCTATTCTGACATCGGACTCGGATTTCTTTTAAACTGAGATTTACTGTGCGTATTGCTGTGTGTTTCTTTATTCTACACTGGCTAGAGGTATAGGGGGAGGGTTGAGATCTCACAAAACATGTTTAACCCCGTCGCATTTATGCGCCTGTCCCAAGTCAGGAGCCTTTGTTAATCTTGTATGTTTTTAAATTTTATTTCATTTATATAAAATTGAGAATGGAAATGGGGAATGTGGAGTTTAGCGTGACGTCCATTTTCTTTGAACTAGTAGCCCGGGTGCGGGATTTTCTCGCTGTGTTAAAGCATTCTCAATTTTATTGATATAGACTACACATATCTAATAAACAATCTCTAGTAGGTTTCAGCAAATTTGAGTTTTTTTGCCCTGTGAGTGAAAAAAAATTGGGCCTCTATACGTTTGAACTGAAATATTAAATTTCCTAAAGTAAAAATCATTGTGAATTTTTATTGAATTTTAAGGCCTAATATCAAGCACTTTTAAAAAAATCAATGACGTTTTAAAAAATATTGAGGTTTTTTGGCATCAAAGCTCATTTAAAATATTAAATTTTGAAAGATTAAAATCAAGCAGAAATTTGGAATCTTTAATATATTTTTTAACCTCAAATTCAAAAAAAGGTTGAATTTTGAATCGTTAAACTTTACACGCACCAATGGTGTATTATCAACAAAACTATTGAAGTATGTAAAAGTTTACCTTTGAACGTTTTTATTTATCCAAAATAAAGTTCATTCTTGCGTGATAATGAAATCACCTGATACAATTTTCTCATTGGATCGATTTTTATAAATATTATATGTAAAACAAAGTAACAGATGTTGAAGTATATTGAATCCTAATGGATTACGTATACAAAAAAAGGTTGACGAGGATGGAAAAGGTAAGTACTGTTTTTTTATGTTTTTTTCCCATTCATAACAAATTTGTATACCAGTGTATCTATGTGGTTTCTCCAAATTATATAATACTATGATTACCTATGGTTGATCCATAGATACATGTACCAGGATTATAATAAAGTATCCATATGGTTGATATTGTTTTCATTCCTGTTTATTCCTTTCACTATGAGGGTACGCCCGGACCAAAAAGAAGCGTTGATGAATAAATGAGATATCTGTTGGACAATGTAAACATTGAAGTTTCGGCAAAAGATAACATAAAAAACAAAAGAAAGAAAAACAACATAAATCCAGAATGAAAACAGAACAAAAGTAGTTATAATTGTAATAACTACTACCATTTAAAAAAATCGCTTTAAATAAAATGTCAAATATTAACAATAACCCAGCTAGAAAGATTCATGTCCAGATTAAATGACCATAGCTGTACGTATGTATGTAAACAATATATATGACCTTTTTTCACAAGTAAAGGTTACTAGATATAGCTTATTAGAAAATAATTTGTTTTTGTCTCGTTGACCACGTATCTTGCTCCACTATTACGAAATGTTAGTTTAGTTTGCTTCAGTACACAACTAATTCGTATACAAGTTATATCCATCTAAAATGGGTCCTCTTCAATTAACAGAAATACCTCTATATATTTCTTTTGTTGTTTGTTGTTGTATTTCTGTTGCATTTAAGTACATCACATCTCTTTACATTCATATACACATACACATGTACATTAGCAATTATTAAATAGAGAACATAATCGTATAAGCAATAATTTAAATATCAAAGAGAATTGTACAACATATTATAATCAATAAATAAGTCAACTACTGAAAGAACATTTGATGAAATGATATGATTAAACCCAATTATAATAGGAGAAATGGCATAATAATTTCGATTACATCTGAATGCGATATAAAAATGAATCACACTTTATACTAAATAGACATATTTAGTCGGATTTTTACAAGGTAAAGGTCAATAGAAAACTTTTCAATCTACCAGAAAGCAATCGTCTGACTCCGAGCAGTAAAGTCTTTGCTCTTACTCTTTAATGCTTTTTGCTGAGCGGAAAAACAGAAAATACCAATTTTAAAGTCTTTGTTGGCTCGGTCGGGAATTGAACCCACAACCTCCCACACTCGATGCAAGCACGCTAATTATAACTAAGGACCATCGAGGTGGTTAGGGTTGTGTTTGAAGAATATTTAATAATCTGCAATCCGAATAAATAAATATTAATATTTTTTCTTATATAACTAGACCTGTTAGCTTCTTTAAATCAATTAATCTTCCGAATGTTGCGAACAGTATAGTCTAAATAGTATAGAAGGGAAACAAGAGTAAAATTGTCATTTAGTAAAAGGCTATTATTGACTCTCAATAAAAACAAGACATATATACAAGACGAGTACAATACAACACAAAAACGACACACATACACACACATACACACGCAGACAGTCAATCAGAACCTTTACTTTTGATCCAGATAATAAAAATTGCATAGTCGCTTCAAATGTCATTTCATCGCTACCAGATATCAATATTTTAGTTACATAGTTTGAATGGTGGACAGCTTTTGAAAAATACATTCAAATTTACACGTGGACAAATAAACCTTTGTAAGGAGATACTCATATGATATTCTGTGTGTGCAAGTGGGGGAAGGGGGTGGGGGCAGATTCAATATGATCTGGGTTCACGATAGCTATTAAAACCAATTGGTTTTATTTTTGTATCGTGTACAGCAAATTTTTGTCTGCATTTCGAAATGCCATTGCAATGCAATGGCTTTTACAATCGTGTACAGCAAATTTTGATATAGTACGGTGACCAAAGACATTTTTTTCATTAACTATTTCAGTATATGAAATTTATACGTAAACTTAGACTCTTATGTGTCTGCAATTTCAAAGAAGCAAGGTATTTTATGAATTTCTATCTTCGGATAAAATTGATGATTACGCGTGTATCGGTTCTTAATCAAATGTAGCGAAGCAAGCAGATATAGCTTTTCCGTTGTTTTTTCATATTTGATTTAATCAAACAATTATTTACGTCTGTTGACAAGGGCGACGTATGTCTTTTTAAATGTGTATTAATTTTGGCCTCGGATTCTTCATGGCAAATCTGACATGTCATTATTTCAGACATTAGACATCTCACACCAAAATGCTACGTTCTTCATCATATATAACAAGACAAAATATATCTCATAGCGGGATGCTACTTCTCAATCCTTCATGACACAAACAAAGAATGAATACATGCCATAGTGCTGCTTTCTACGTGACATAAAAACAGAAAATAACCGGATGCTAATTCGTAATGACATAAAACAGACAATTTATGTCTATAATCACAATATATGTCTCAAATCAGGACGTTACTTCATTGATGACGTAGAAAATCAATAGATATATATCACACCAGCGGCCTACCTCCTTCGAGACTTAAAAACAGACAAATATATCTCATACCAGGGTGCTACTTCATTCATGACATAACACAGACAAAACATGTAAAACCAGGATGATACCCTGGAATCTTTCATGACAGAAAACAACGTAAAGATATCTCATACCGGAGGTGGGTGTGCTACTTTCTTCACGACAGATAAAATTACAAGACATAAATTATCTCACGTCATATAAAACAAAATTGAGATGTTTGAAACAAGGGCGCTACTGACATCAATCTATGAAAAAATCCAGTAAAAGTTGTCTCAAACTAGTGCTATACTCGCTTGAAATGAATTATGATAGTTGTCGCGCATGTGTGGACCCATCTGTATTGCTTCAAATCTAACGATATTTTTTTTGTATAATATGTAAACAACTGTTGTCCACATTTAACTATAATCTATAATTGCTGATATTACAACTTGATATTTAATTTTACAGATAATATTATATATTTTGTTGTCTAAAATACCGTTGTTCGCCCGACTCTATGTACCACTTTTCCCAGTTCTTGACATGAAAAGTATCCGAAGAGGCAAGTTCAGGCATTTACACCACCCAGCAGCTTTGAAATGGCTTCTAGACATTGTTTTCTCTGAAGGCTGATTTTTTCTGAAGGCTGATTTTGTCCCCAAAAATACAATCAAATAAAAACGTGAAGACAACCATTGTTTTGGCGTAGAAGGAATGACCCCACAAAATTTAGTTCAGTTACTAAAAACGTAAAACCTTTAATAATTAGGGCGAAATGTATTATATACAGACTTCGAGAACAAATATTGATTAAAAATTTGATTATTAAATGTAAAATTGAATTATGATTTAACATATACCAATATTTTGTAGAAACTAAACTTCCATTAAAGAGGAATAGCTTTCATTTGACGACGTTGAAGTTGAAAAACGGAATTTTGTTTAATTACATATTCATTCTTAAATATGTTTAATCCTCCAGAATTCTTGTTGATTAAACAACAATGTACCTTACCATAATGTATTTACTGGTGGCGATATGAAATTATATCAAACGTAACTTTACTAGACCCCCCCCCCCACACACACACATACACACTCACAATCTCTAAATTAGGTTTACAGATATAATAATTTCCAGCACACTAATTAACTTATGCTATTATTTTTTTCCTTCCAGTTTGAAGAAGAAAACACCCAGTTGTTATCTACAAAAAACAATTGTCTCAAATGGATGTCGTTACTAGCCGGAGGATTCGCTCACGCCATGTTAGCCTCTAATCTAATATTTTATGTTTATATAAATGACATTAAAGAGCGATTTCGTTTTGACCAAAAAGAAGGTTAGAACTTAGTTTACGTTCTATTCTGTAGATGATACAATATATTTCACGCACATACTTTTTATACATGTACCTCTATAAAATAAACGAAAAAAATATTGTATTATAACATGGACACACTACGTGTGCATCCTTTCATATCATTATCTTACATTAACAAGATGAAATCATATACAGCTGCACTAAGTATTGCTTGAAGAAATTGGATGAATTATAGGCAACAGTAGTTTACATATGTTCAAATATCTTAAATCCATATAATTACATTACACGCATGTTTCATTATAATCCGTTATTTTTATTGGCTGGCAGCAATCGCGAGGCACTCCAATATATCATTTTATTTCCGTATAATTACATTAATGTATGTTTCATTATTATACGTAATTTTGATTGGCTTACAGCAATCTCGAGTCATTCTTCATTTCAAAATGAATTTCATGAATTGAAACATACATGATGACATACGTTTCCACAATAAAGTGCACAGGTAAAAAAAAAGAGAAAAACTTGATAATAATCGTGTTTTCATGATCATAGCAAAAAAAATGTAATAATAAGTATTGAATGCTTCGTTTAGTAATTTCATAGGGTTGTAAAAGCGTTGACCGTGCGTACATTTTTAGAATGAAGCGCTTCTGCGCTTCGTACAAAATGTACTTCGGTCAACGCTTTTACACCCCAATGAATTTACAAAAAGAAGCATTCAATTCTTAGAATGAAATACAAAGGCTATGACTGCACGTGGTATCCACGACACTGTTAAAATAATGCATTGAAAAACACAAAGCTTGATAGAACTCTTAATTTCATGGTAGTAGCATAAAAAAATATGATAAAGCGTTGATCGTGCGCACATTTATATTATGAAGCGCTTCCGTGCTTAATACAAAATGTGCTCCGGTCAACGCTTTTACACCCCAATGAAATTATAAAAAGAAGCATTCAATTCTGAATTAAAATATACAAATCAAGATATAACCCCGAGGGAATCTTGTGAATTATAAACGGATCGAGACCGGGTTCATCCAGTGTATGCGTCTTCTGCTATGCATGCCATGCGAATTCACACTCAGTCAAAATGTCACAATATGCAGTTATTTTAGAGATCAGAAGACAACTATTCACAGAAATACACAAATATTGATAAATAGTGCTTTATTTTTCATCGTTTTATATTTTCATAATTTGAAATACTGATTTCTTCTTAATGTTTACCATCCATGTTTACTTTAATAAGAGTATAGACATTTTTTTTTTAAAATTGTATAAGACATTTAAAAAAAAAAGATTGAATTGGAAGACTGGTCAACACAATAAAATTATACTTGGATTCAAATCCTTATTTTTTTTTAATTTTCAGTGGAAGCGTTTGCTTCAATGTTAAATGCTGGAATTGGACTTGGTTTTGTTCCAAATCTTATTGGACAAAAGTTGAAATCAACATGGGTACTAGCCTTTGGCATGGTTTTGAGTACCATCGGTATACTAATGTTATGGAGTTCTACAAAAATGGTATCATTCTATGAAGATAAAAGCTGGTTAATGGCTCTGTACTTTCTTATCAGTGGTGAGTAATATGTTTGTACTGAATAGCAGATTTCCAAGACGACCATACAAAGTGCGGACGGAACAACAATCTACATTCTCCCTTGATTTAAGATACGGCCGGTACAACACTAAACAAGCGTAGCTCATAAAAATCTACCACACTTATTCTTTTTTATAGGTATGACAATTTAATAACTCAATTTAATAAATCAATTTCTGACAAAGCCATTGTGTGCTAATGTGTGGATTCCAAAACTAATTCCAAACAAATAAAAACAAAATACGTAGTAAGTAAGACTTATACGATGTTATTAAGTACTGATGGTTCTATAAATCAATTATTTGGTTAAGAGTCGGATCGGATACAATGTATCCCTTTTTATAGATAAGTAAATGTTTGATTTGTGGATTAAAAAATACTTAAATCAAAAAGTGAATTAGATGGAACACACTTGCATGATATAAAAAGTCTTGTATGAGAATTCCATATTATATCCAGAGTATCGGGTTTGGAGTATCTATATATATAGTTGCAAGATACATACACCCTTTTTCAGATATGTCCGCGTTTTGTCAAAGACATACGTTTTTTTATACTTTCGACTGAGCGCGTCTGACGATAACTCTTGTAAACTTTAATAAATACTTTTTGAAATTTTAAGCAAACATATGCAAGTTTCTGTGAAGACTATGGCTACCTTTTCGATTTTATGGGATTTTTTTTCAGAATAGTCTCACCAGAGTTATGAGACTCTTATCCCTAGTAACAGGACAAAATATGCTTTAACGAATCCTTGGATTCGTAAAAAATATTTACAATGTAAGGTTTAAAAAGAAATTGACCTCAGATTTTTTAAATGATTCTTATATTAAATCGTAGTTGCTTCACAGTTGTGGGAAACTAAGCAATTTAATAACTCAATTTTGCTTTGAACGTTTCTCATGAAATACTCTGACAATGCTATAACTTATACAAGTAAGTGTTCTCCTTTCTTTATACAAATGTATCTATGTATCGAACTAGTCTATCAAAGTATATGTGACTTCAAACTACCTTAAAAATTTAACCTGATACCGGACAGACGGACGGCTGGACGTACAGACTGGAAACAGAATACATCCCTCTAAAATCGTAGGCTGGGCATAGCCAGTTAACATATTTTAACCGAACTTCCTAAATTTAGAAATGGATTTTGTAAAACATATCACAAAGAGTTACTTTTCTAGTGTTCTCGAGTCAAAAGATTCTCCTTCTAAAAGTCCGCATTATAATGTCACTTGTTTAAACTAATCCAAACAGTAAAATGATTTGGTTTCTATTTTTGGTTTCAGGGTTAGGTGGATCTGTTGGATATATAATGGCATTAAGATTCAATGCAGAACATTTTGCAGATGATAAAAGAGGTCGAGTCATAGCTATAATGTTTGTTTTTATAGATTCAGGAATGATCAGTTTTACACTTATTTACTATCACGCTTTCCCGCCAGAAACTCGATTTGAAGGGTTGTTGATAATACTTGTTTCATTTAACGCTGTTGTATATATTTTCTGTATGATATTTTTAAGGCCTCCTTCAACTAACAAACAGTCTGTTGATGAATCTGAACTCCAAGTTTCAGGGTTTAAGTACGAAACATTACAAGAAGAATGTCAAATCTTAAAAGAGAAGTCTTTCAGAGATCTTCTTGTAACTGTAGATTATCATTTACTGGCGTGGATGTGTTCCTTGACGTTCGCTGTGTCCTTGTTGCTTAGTAACAACATGACAGTTTTGACAAAAGAAGAGGAATTGAGTTCGTTTGATAACGTAACGACGTTGTTATATCCACCTATTGTAATTGTTTCAGCATTATCTTTCAGTGCTGTATCGGATAAAATTAAAAATGTCGTGTCGCGAATTACATTTTTAATAATCGGTGGATTATTTCTTGCATTAAGTTCTTTGCTTAATGCATTTTTGTCATCAAACAAAGCTATAATTGCAACAGCTTTAGTATTGGCTGCCATTGCAACAGGAATGGTATATACTATAGGACCAACAACTATGAGTGAACAATTCCATATCGATAATTTCATGCGAAATTGGGGAATAGTGATGTTTATGCGGGCAATATTGATAATAATTCTACATGTGATATTTGGGGCTTTTTATGACATAGAAATTCAGGCTACAGATGGGTTGTTTTGTAAAGGTCTACACTGCACACGTAACGGATATATTCTAACATGTGCTGTGTCCTTGATTGCTATTGGACTAGGCGTTTGTTTAAACTTTCGTATAAAGAAACGAAGGAGTAAAACATAGGAACATTCTTGAACGAATAAATCAAGTAAATTATAAATGATGTTGATGTTGTATTAAAAGTAGTTCTTTATTCTATATTAAAGATTGATATAAATATGAGAAAGAAAAAAAAAAATACAAACATGATTATTTTGATTTTTTTCAGATGGTGTAATAAAACAATGGTATGATATATGAAAAAAAATGGTTAAGTAAGACACAGATAATTCTTTTAGGGCAGTATGGTTAATGATCGGAACTATCTTCAAACATTAAGAATACCTTTTAAAAAATAGCAACAAAAAAAAAATCAACAAACAAATTCTGAAAAATCACGTGAAGGACCAATGTCTCCTTTAATTCAATTAAATAAGGATTTTTTTTAACAAATTTGGCAGTTAAGCCAATAATCACAGAACCTTGAAAATGCATAGACAAGTAAGTACTTTATAAGTATTCATAGATGCAGATTTTGTGTAACCCTATCGAAAAATATCATAGACAATAAGCATTAGATCATGTGCATTTTTATTTTGGCATTGCACAAGTCATGTCTTCTTTGACTGCCCATGGCGTTAAAACACTAAATCCCTACCTGGGATGTGTTTTAATTGATTTTAATCTCTGATGCATGATTTTTTATTTTTAATTGTTTTTGGCTTTTAACTAGCTTTCAGTAACTGCGAGTACTCTCAAATCGTACTTTCGTGTTAATTTGACAAGTTGACATCATGTGTAATGCATTTCTGTTATTCAATGTTTACTTATTTTGTCTTACTATTTTTAATATGTACCACCTTTGATAAGTATTTAGTATGACGAAAAAATGTTCACTTCTGTACTCGTACTATCATGAATAACAAATCTATTTTGTAAAAAATGTTTCTGTACTCCTAACAACAAAATTATTATATTTAAATTTTCCTGTGTACGCTTCTTTATTTAACGCCATTTTGTCCTAGGTTAAAGTTGTCTTTTTGACATTGAAACATCTTTTTTATTTATATTGTGTCATAGATCAAACTTATTCGTTCAGTGTATATTTACTTGTTTTTGCATATTGTCTTTTTGATCGAGTTAAGCCATTTCAATTGACATTTTATTGTGTGTCATTTGATGTTGTAATATTAAACCACTGTTTCAGGTTAAGGCGAAGGTTGGCGCCTGTTAAAACGTTTAAACCCACTGCATTTCTATGCACCTGTCCTTAGTCAGGAACCTGTTGTTTGGTGGTTGTCGTTTGTTGGTGTGGTTCATAAGTGTTTCCTGTTTCTCGTTTTTATCATAGATTAGACCGTTGGTTTTCCTGTTAGAATTGTTTTACACTTGTCTTGTTTGGGGCCCTTTATAGCTTGCTGTTCAGTGTGAGCCATGGCTCCGTGTTGAAGGTCATACTTTGAGCTATAATTGTTTACTTTTTACACATTGTGACTTGGATGGATAGCTGTCTCATTGGCACTCATACCACATCTTCTTATTTATATATAATATGATTTAAGTTTTCATTTTTTTTTTCATATTGAGTTATATATCACAGTCTGTTATGTGTATTGTATATTTCATATTTTTAGATAGTATCATTCCTATGTAATTATGAAATAAGAGTTGTCTTTCATTGAACCGGTATACATAATAATCGATTTATTGTAATTTCTTTTCACTATTTTATATATTCCTCAATTTTGACACACCCACACACTCACTCTTTCTCTCAAACACACACACACACCCACACCCACACAGAGAGACACACACACTATACAATATATTGATATCTAGCGACAACTTTCAAATAAAATTTGTCAACTTGAGAGCAAACAGCGGGCTAAACAGGGCTTTAACTTTATGTAACCATTGTATAGTATGCCATAAATTCAGAACTCAGTTAATACATTATAATTGTCGGAAGATATATACATAGTTTGTACGAGCTTTAGTCTGTTTTGTTATAAACCTTTATTACAATATACAGGTACATTTTAACAACTTGAATACTAATGTCTTATACCATGTTCACGCAGTCATGGTCATCGTCATTATACATCACCTGCTCTTCATGCTGTCTCTATTAATGACCTGCTGCCATTTATACAAAAGCCGTTAGGTATTCACCACATTCGCACGAAGCTTTATTCATTATCCCTTTCAAAACTTCTATCACTGTACAACTTATGTTTAGATACCACTGTTAGAAATCTCCATTCAAATCAATCTAATATCTCGGATATTGCCAGTCACAGACTTTTCAAACCAGTTCGCATTGGAAAAGATGAAATGGAGAAAAGATCCTTTCTAAAACTTTCCTTTGCCAACAATGGTATCGATGCCATCAACTTGGGCAATATCCTTCATCATAAATCAGTTCACTCGAAAATACCTCCCTATTTTAAAGATCAGTTTGTACTTATCATTTCTTATACATATACCAAACCAATTGCAACTAAAATTTTCTATTACAAACACGTTTGTATTTCGTTTATTATTTTGTACATAAATTAGGCCGTTAGTTTTCTCGTTTGAATTGTTTTACATTTGTCATTTCGGGGCCTTTTATAGCTGACTGCGGTATGGGCTTTGCTCATTTTTGAAGGCCGTACAGTGACCTATAGTTGTTAATTTCTGTGTCATTTGGTATCTTGTGGAGAGTTGTCTCATTGGCAATCATATCACATCTTCTTTTTTATACGTGTTGCAGGATCTCAATATTGACGACTTCAAATCTAAACCTCCTGATTGCACCTTTGTCAGTTCCCCTTTCATATATAATCTGACTGGCCACGTTATTACTGTACTGGTGACCTAAACAACCATACTGCTCTGCGAAATATGTTATCCAAAGGCCCCAAATATCGTGAGCCTTGATCCATCCATTGGAATAAAAACTTCAAAATACTGATGGATTCGGTCGAGGATTATGCCAGGCAATGGGTTAAACGCAAGAAAGAAGACGTTTCTTCTCTTTCCGAATGGATTTAGGCTGTGAGTTCTTTGATACAAATCAGATTTTTAAAAATTCTGAATGGGTCTTTGAATATCCATACTACATCAATCTTTTTAAAGACACAAATGTTGCAAAAGACCTGTCCTACCTCTATGACAAATATGTTATTGTCCCCGCAGATAAGCACCATCGTTTTTATGTGTTAATCACATTACATAAACTGCTTGATAAATAAATGAGGTATTGAAAATTCACTTGGACACTTAACATATACCCCCACGACAAGGGGGAAATCCTGGAAAATCATAGGTCTGTTCTATGTACCTTTTAAATTTCAACCAAAGATGAAAAACTGGATCTTTCTTCACTGTTTGGGATACCTAACTACATAAATGGCCTCACAAATAACGTTATACTGCTGGGTCTTCCTAGTGATCCACGAAACCTCTTTCTAATTATTACCATCAATTTTATCAGCAATCAAAGCCGGGCTTCAAAGTTATTGTGAAACTACCTATTCTAGAGGTGGCGTGAATCAGATGTGGATACTAAAAATTCAAAAAAATCTTTTAGAGTACATACAATCTAACACTCTTTCATCTTGCAATAGTATTAAAACATTTGACTTTTCTACATTTAACACAAGCATTCCCATTCCAAACTAAAAAAACAAATTGAAAATTGCTTTGTTTCATAAAAAAGAATAGCCAACGTAGGGAGGGATAAATCGTACTTTGTAGAAAATCATTCGGATTCAAACAAAAAATTCTCTGAATCTGACATTATCAAGATGCTTGATTTCTTGATCGACAACATATTTGTTACGTTTGGAGGACGTGTTTTTCAACAAACAATCGGCATTCCCATGGGAACCAACTGTGCTCCTTTTCTTGCCGACTTGTTTTTTTTTTCTTCATATGAGGCTAAGGTAGCAATAAACAGTTAGGAAAAAATATTAAAATTTACCATCATAAATTTTACCATCCCCTTTTCATTGCTTTCTTGCAAATAAAGCTTACTGTTTGTGTCATATATGTGCATATGTATGTAATCAGAATCTTCCATAGATTTTATATCCAGTAGTTGAAATTGTAAAATATAATTTCTTTTTTGGTGTATCCATGGCAACAATCTGCATTTATTTGTTATAAAATATTGCAAAAAGGGGGGAAAAGATGTCGCATATTTTCCTAAAATTTGGCCACAAGTAGAATTTCAATCGCTTGGAGTAGTACCTTTCCTGAAACTGTTTACATATATCTATCAAGAAATCCAATAAAAATCATATGTCTTTCATCTCATTTTTTTGTAAAATTGCGTCAAAAACTTCGTGTAGAAAAAAAGTGTTTGTAAACATTACATTAATTTCTGGACCTACGGCCGGTCTAGCTATGAAAATACGGAGAGTCAAACAGAAAATAGCCCATAAAACATGTAAAAAATAATCTTTATGTTCTTATAAACCATCTTTGAAGGCTAAATTAGTACTCAGCTGTCTAAAAATGAATTTTTATTGCACAATAACTTTCATATTTGAAAAATCCACCGGGGCCAAAATGCGAAACCAAACTCCTAACTGTGTATTGCTACCTAACTTCATACAAGAACTACTTAGGAAGAAAGAAAATAGATGACGTTCTCTCACTAAATAATTCAAACGCATCTATCCCATCGAACTTGAGATAAAGGATACAACAGATACAGTTAAGTCTGACTCAGGTCGGTTGAAAACAAAACTTTACGTCAAAAGAGATTATATCAGCTTCCCAATTGCGAACTTTCCGTTTCTATGTAGCAACATTCCAGCAGCGTCTGCATACGGAGTATGTATCTCCCAGTTGATACGATATTCCAGGGTTTATGTTTCCTATCATAATTTCCTTGATAGAGGGTTGCTGCTCACAAGGAAGCTATTTAACCAAGAGTTCCAAGTGGTGAGGTTGAAGTCATCCTTTCGTAAATTTTACGGACGCATTCACGAGTTGGTTGACCGTTATGGAATATCTGTTTCACAGATGACAACTGATATGTTCAAATTGTTGTAACTACGATCCTGTCCCCTTTTCTCCGAATGTGATCTTCTGAATTAGATTTATCCCCAGGTTTGTACTTACATGAGCAACACGACGGGTGCCACATGTGGATTAGGATTTGCTTACTCTTCCGGAGAACATGAGATCACCCCAAGTTTTAAGTGGGGTTCGTGTTGCTTAGTCGTTAGTTTTCTATGTTGTGTTTTGTGTACTGCTGTTTGTCAGTTGGTTTTTTTTATAAGCCATGGCGTTGTCAGTTTATTTTCGACTTATGAGTTTGCATGTCCCTTTGGTATATTTCGACTATCTTTCACATTATGAAATCTGCACCGGTCGAACCCGGGATAGTTAACCTGAATTAATTACACCGGTGCACACTGGTTAAAGAATAACCCATTTTTGTATTTTCCCTCTCAACAAAATTAGACACATATGCAAATTGTATCTTGCATCTGTCAACTGGAGTTGTTTACATTCTTTGCACCACAGTTGCAGTATTTCAAAGACTGAAATTCTTTCGCGAACTCCTTAGTGGTTTCAGCATCATCCACCTTCCTTTCCATGTTTGTGAATACCTAGATATTTCTAATGGAGGAGTAAATCTTATCCTGTATCTTGCTATCTCCCACCATATAGATAGCTAGATTCTTGTCTTCTCTGCGTTCATGTAAGACTGCATGCTTTGGCTTATAACTGATTCTGGTATTTCGCCCACCATCTAGAATCTGTATTTTCGACTAACGTAAGCAAACATCATGTGTCACAATAGCAAAATCCTCAAATTAACTTCACTTTGCGTTCACATATATAAGGCGAGGTTCCACCACATTAACTCTATCTACCGGTAAAACAAGGGGTAATCTTAATTCAGGTTCGACCCGAGTTTTGACGTTCACACTACCTAATAACTAAATTTAAACCGGTTTAACTAATTTGGGTTGAACCTGGATTAAAACGGCATAGTGTGCAAAACTAATCCAATTCAACAAAGGGAAATAACCTAAAGTCATTTATTAATGCGAATCCTGTACATGGTTAACAAAGAAGATGACCGCTGGTCAATGTAATCTACATTGGTATGCAGAGGAAGATGACCTGGTGTCATTGTTTTCAATACTTATAGACTAAGAGGGTTTACGTGTTTAGCACTATTTTACATGTGTTTATACATGTATTATATTATGGATTATTTTATACCAATTTCAGAATAGTTTTTTTTTTTTAATTTTCAACCCCGATTCAAAAAGGTTATGTCATGTTATGCTCATATTCCTGATTCTAGGGTAGCAGATATTATCATAATCATCATTGTTATGAAACAGTTCATAGACTTTTTCGTTGATAATGACATGAAGTTGATTCTTTTGATACGTATTGATAATGTGCCTTTTAAGATATAATAACCTTAGACATCCGTAAGAAGTGAAATAATGGCATGACGGTTGAAGTCATGGGGTTAGTGTATGTCTGGCGGCTTGTATGTACCCAATGAAGTGGTTTAATCAAATATTTCAAACGAAGAAGAACATTCAAAGTAATATTAATACGTTTTAATTTTAGAATCAGTAAATGAAATGAGTTGAACATAATTATGTATGTTAGTTAGACGATTAACTTTTCTCATGAACTGACGATATCATATTTGTATTCACGTATCATATATATCTAGTTATTGCTTTTATAAACTTAATACTATCATACATTCAAAAAGATATTTGGCTCTATTTACGTAATGAAAAATGAATTATATATGTATCTGTTTACGTGAAGAGATTGCGTTATTGAATTATAATTTTGACTTTCGAACTCAATGAACCATAAACATTTACAACAACATATTGTGACAGTTAGAAAAATTCTTCTAACCGTGATACCATATAAGACCCATATGATTCATCTAACAATTTATCCTGATACCATTAGACCCACATGATTCTTCAAACAAAATACCACGTTATCATTAGACTTACAGGAATCTTCTCACAATGTATCATGCTATTATTAGACCCTAATGAATCTTTTAAAAATGTATCATGATAACATTTAATCCACATGATTATTCTCACAATGTATCATGTTACCATTAGACCCACATGATTTTTCTTACAATGTATCCTGATACCATTAGACCCACATGATTCTTCAAACATTATACCATGATATCATTAGACTTACAGGATTCTTCTCACAATGTATCATGCTATTATAAGCCCCTGATGAATCTTTTAAAAATGTATCATGATAACATTAAACCCACATGATTATTCTCACAGTGTATCATGTTACCATTAGACCCACATGATTCTTCTAACAATGTATCATGATACCTTTAGACCCACATGATTATTCTCACATTGTATCATGATACCATTAGACCCACATGATTATTCTCACATTGTATCATGATACCATTAGACCCACATGATTATTCTCACAATATATCATGTTACCATTAGACCAACATGATTCTTCTAACAATGTATCATGATACCATAAGACTCACATGAGTATTCTAACAATGTATCATGATACCATTAGACCCACATG